AAAAAAAAAAAACGAGGTGGGAAAGCCGGAGCTTGGGACAGACTTGTTGTTTTTCTCGCTCTCTCTCTCTCTCGCTCTCTCTCTCGCTGTCTCCTGTTGGAACTGAACGTACTGTAAGGTTGGGGGAGAGGGATGTAAATAGCCTCTGTAAGATTTTGTAAGTATATTTGTATTTAAATTACAGAAAAACTCACTTTTTTAATTATTTAGGACATTTTTAATCCATTTGCAAATTTCGCTTTCCCCCTCCTGCCCACTCCCCCTTATTTTTTTTTAAATGGCATTGGATTTTTATTTTGTAGGGCAGGATGGGAAAAAAAAAATTGCCAGTACAAGAAACCAAACCAACCCCTTTCTTCTCCCCCACACAGGTTTTGTAATGGCTTTGCTTGGAGTTTCAGTTGCATGAACAGCAGGGCCTGGACAGAGGCTGCTGTGACTGCCTTGGGCGCCCCCTGCCACAGGCCGGGTCCTGATCCCAGCCTGCCAGAGGGAGCGCAGAGCGCCCGTCCAGCGGGACCGTGTGCTGGGGGACAGGCTGCCGGCTGTGCACGCTGGGTTTTTTAAATTTATTTAAATGCACCACTGAGTTTTGAAAGAGTTGGCCTTTTTTTTTTTTCCTGTTGTTGTGCTTGGGCCAGGAGTTGAGGTTTAACACCATTTGCACCTGTGGCCTGTCTTCTGATGGCTTAAGAGGTAAACGGGGACATAGAAATGCCAAACTTTTTTTTTTTCTTTTTCTTTTTTTGAGCCCACATAATGAACTTTTTCAGTTGCAAGAAGTTTTTTTTTTCCTTAGAAATGGGATTACTGGCCTGCTCCATCAGAAGATGCATAGATTGGGAGAAAAAAAGAGATTTAAGTACAGTTTCAAACCTAACTTGTGAGTGTGCACTCAATTTTGGCTGTACCCTTTCTTCCTGACCGGCTTGCGTGTGTTTATGTTCTCCTTCTGTTACTGAAAACTCGGGCAGAGAACTACCTGGATTGCTTTGTTGAATGCTTAGATTAACGGAGGACTCAGTATAAACAGAATCAGAATAAAACGCAGCATTCCGATTATTTTTTTAATTAAATCCATAAGCTGGCTCTTCATTTTGGAAACATTCAAATCATTGCCATTGCCCTGAATTTTAGTTCATTAACGTTTAATTTGTTACACATTATGAGGGTGTGATGATTTCTGCCAGTAGTAAAAACAAAGGAAAAAAGAAAAAAGAATACGAGTATGTTTAAGCACTGTGGTGGTGCGTGAGACCTTAAGGAGCCACTGCTATCTTTTTTTTAATTTCTTTTAGTACAGTAATAAACATGGCATACTACAAAGATAAGATATCATGTGTGCAGTATATCTACTACCTTGTATGCTCCTGGGTGTGTGGGGTTGTGCTGCTTATTCCAGAAGGTTAAAAATGAAATGTAACTTTTGAAAGATACATTTGAATATTTAGTCCTCTGTATGAAAAACATCAGAATGCTTCTCTCCTGTTGTATGTTTTAAACTTTTTTTTTTTTATATAACAAATGCCTGTATGTAGGTTCATAAACATTATCTATGACTACCATACCCTGAAATGCAAAATTATTTGAATTTGGTATGCATTTATTTCTGTTCATTATCACAAGATCATCTATATTTATAGAGGAATAGAAATTTATATATATTAAATACCATATTTTTAATTTCTCTGAAATAAATTGAGTTTTTGTACAAAACTATCTTGTCGTTTTACGTATTCCTCAGACTAACTTAAATGCACACTGTGTGAAAGTAGTGTATATGCTACAAGATGTGTGGGATTCCTTTTTTCTTTTCTTATGTTGAGTTCACAGTAACAAGCTGGAATTCAGTGTAGGAATTCATTGCGCATTTTGGTTTTTATCTCTGGGCCAGTCTAGATTAATCCTTCAAAAGAAGTAATGTAAACTGTTCAAGATCTCTGACAGGGTAGGTTGGTGGTGTGAAATCCAAGAAGAGATCTGCTATATGGCAGGAGAAGAAAGAAGCTCACCAGTTCTTTTTCTTTTTTTTTTCTCTTTTTCTTTTTTTTCTCTTTTTTCTTTTTTTTTGTTAAAAGGGTTCTCCCAACTTAGTCTTTCTTCTCTCTTTCCTATTAAAATAAAATAAAAAAAAGATTTTCTCACTGCTCAAAATGACACTCAGATCATGTTACAATATTGTCAGCATATTTTAATGCTTAAAGCAGTTTTGTTTTCCTGAATTTTGAATATTTGACAAATCCAGAGTTAAATATGTTACTGGAAATATTTCAGACCTGTGAAAACTGCATATATTGTTAAACCTTTCACCGAAACCATTTTTTTTTTTCCTTCTCCTTTAATTCATTGTTAAAAGTGCCATTCTGTGCGCATGGTTTCTGTTCAGAAAGAATGAGACCTTGATTTCTGGTTTCCGGTATTGAAAGCTATAGCACAGCATTTCATTCTGTAGATCTACAAAAAGTTGTAAACAATTTCTGGCTACTTTGCTAGTTTCAAATTTTAATACATAAACTGTTGTAGAGAAGTTTAAGAAAAAAAGAGAGTTTCTGCTCTCCTGAGCTTTCTTAGATGTTTTGCACATTTTTTTCCAAGCTTTTTTTCCTTCAGTATTTTAGCATTTAAAATAGTGCTCGTCATTATTCAGCTCTAGTGACTTGACTACAAGACACTCAGTTTCATGTGCAGTGAAATTCTTTCTGGCCAGTATTTTTGAGCCATTTTTACTGATCTGTTTTCTTGCAGCTGGGTGTGTGTGATTTGTTTATGCATGGGAGAGCACATTTATTTTAACAGAGACTTTGTAATAGGGATGGGAGGACTATTTTTTTTAATTATTTTTCAAAAATCCTGTACTAGAATTGTAGTTCCTAAAAGTAGTAGAACATTGCTGGTATTTGCAGTTGATGATTTGCACCAAATGTGGTCCTTTTCAATTCTTAATGATTTTTCATAGACTGTAAAACTGAAGTCCCATATTCAGCCTTGATTGTTTTAACAAATATACTAGAATGCACAACACAATAATTTCAAAATCATTTTAATGCCTTGCCTCATTTAAAAGAGCAAGTCCCCTCCTTAATTTTCATTCTTTGCTGCTGCTTTTTTTTTAGGTTCGCTAGTATTCGTGAACTTCCTCAGTGCAGTAATTTGCAAAGGTCACAGCCATTACTGCTATTGTGACTTGCATACTTCTTCTTACACTTCAATTTTTCAACACATCATGACATTTGAGACTTACTTATATGATACAAAGGTGTCTTTTGCACGGATATATTGCAATTATGACAACTGCTTTACCTGATTGTAAAATCATATCTATTTACTGCTCAGATGCTCTAGAGAATTTAAATAGGCTTATTTATTTATTTATTTATTTCAACACAATCTGTGTAATTAATACAGCTTATCTACCAGAGGAAATCTCACTGTGCCAAACCAAACAGTGCGCTCAACTCTCCTCTTGTGTTTGATGGGAAGGATAATGTAAGAACAAAAATTTTGCTATAGCAAAGTTTGTTATGCCTGGAAGTGCTTGTAAAGGCGTTCCGTAGCCAACAGCTTTGCTTTTTCTGATGCTGTGTATTTATGGCTTAAAATGAAGGGGACTTAGAATTAGCAGTTTCCTGTGTGCATTTTGCTAAATAGGGCTGTAGCCTGGAGAACGGGGGATGCTGAGTTACAGCTCATCCTTCACTAACTGTAATGCTGTCTAATATAGTGGCAGATTTGTGGTATTGGAATGAAATGATATGCTGTTTCCATAACAAATCCTATCGAGAGGGGGGAGGTTTCTGATTTGTTCAAAGCGTTATGCCCCAAATAGCCAATGTCTGAATATGCTTTAAAAAGTGCCTCCCCGCTTCTTTTTTTTCAGTTGAATTGAAAGGTTGTGTTCTAGTGGGCCTAATTTCTGCCCTGTGGGCTGCACACTCCCTTCTGGTGCCATCTCAGTACTTGTGGGGCACAAGTTCCATTACAGGTGGGGCAGAGGATTCGTTTCATTTAAAGGGACAAATATTTGCATTTCTCATATTGTTCAAAGGGCTGATAATTAGACATGGTAATTAGACATGAAAAGAGGTTGCTGTATGTGCACAGGATAAGTATTTTTGAAAATGGCTTATGGACTCCTACCTCATCAGTCTTCTGTTGACTGTCACAAGCGACAACTTCCAGACAACCCCGCTGATCCCTCTGGAAAGGTGTAGGCACTGCCGCTGTTTTGGTGACCTAGGTAGGTTAACATTTTTGATGGTACTTCCACGTGGTGTCATAACTCCTCCATGCCTGTGCTGCATGGCCTCAGCTGTAGCTTCAGCTAGCAAAAGTTCTCATGACAGCTGAAGAGGTCAAATACTTGCCTGTAAAAATAAGAAAACTGAGGTAAGGCTCCATTTTCATCTCTAATTGACCCTCTAGTGCTTAAACATGGGAATTACATTTTATTTGGTAGATGTTTGGTATGACTGCGCTTACAAGACTGTCAAGTCATACTGTGTGAAATCATACACAAGGTCATGGTGTAAAATCAAATCTAAATATTAGCCCTTCTTCCCCATCTAAGACTCTCTTAAAATTATACTTGCACTTTTTGAACGAGAGTGCCATTGCTGTGTATATTATACAAACTTACAGTAGATGGATCACATTGGTCCCCCTTCGATAATACTGGCTTAAAACACAAGTCCCTTTAGCTGCTTTGTCACGCTGGGAGCAGGGAGGCTTTCCTGCCCATAGCTGGGGCTAGCAATCCTGCAAATCTCTCTCCACATTATGAATTGAGTCTGAAGGCTAACGCCATGATCCTCATCTATATGA